GAGGAAGACTACTGAATGTGATACTCGGTGGATCGATTGTTTGGTATTGTTTTGGATTATTTTTTATAGTACGTTCAAAAGTTCGAAGCGCAGGACACTTCCTCTTTTCGAACAATGAGACTAGCAGCAGCTACAGCTACCACGCTCTCATTGCGTCTTCATCTCACCAGACTGTCCGCGGCTCAGTCAGCCAGACGGACTGGTGGTCCCTTCCGAGATTACTTTGTCCCTTCTAGGATACAGCTGCGTGCCATAAACCGACGACGCGGCGTGTCATACACCGGCGGCGCCCGCATGGCCGTGCGGGTCAGGCTACTTTACAACTTGACACACTCGCTGCACCCACTCAATAATTCGAACACGCTCCCCCACTCCACAAATCACCGTTACTGATAGGGGTTAGCAGGACGTCGCTCCCGTCAACTTCTGCGCAACGTTGCTAAATCACTGGAAGACCGTCTGTTTCGCTTCAAGTAGCATCTCTTAGCTATCGGTAGACGCAAGCGCTCGCGTATGATTTGGGCCCGACTCGTTGGACGCAAGCAAGACAGACTGCACCACCCACGGATAATGGCACAGGGAGCAGCGCATTCCATTGCTGAATGGAGACAGAGAGGAGGCTGGCGCCGAGCGGGTCTCAGTCAGGGACACAGCTGCGTGCCATAAACCGGGGCGTCGGCGTCGGAAGTGCGGCTGGGGCCAGTTTATAGCTTTACACACTCACTGTGCAGTGTGCACCCTCACATGATTTCAAACACACTTGTGCCTCTGTGCATGGCCTCGTGAGAAATGAGGACGCCTTGTAATATTATCCTTTCGTTTTCAGCGTGCCCCTCCCTTGTGTTCTCAATATGTCCTGTCCTTCCATTCTCAATGCGTCCAGCCAGGGATAGTTTATGACCACAGTGTGTTTGCTTTTGACCCCAGTGTGCCGTGCCTGCCGTGACCTGACCCGGTCATGTCTCTTTCAGCCGGTGATTCGACTCAGTGAAAAGCTGACTGCAAAGCTGGCCGAGCAGCCGCTCAACACCACCCGGTCTCAGGCGGAGATCTGCCTCATCCAGTCGGCTGTTGAGAAGGTCCAGAACGGCCCGGTCCCGGTAAGGACTTATTATATCCTGCTGGTCCCGCTCATTGAACTCGCATGAAACATTTACCCCGCGTACGATGTCTCTGGGGCGACGAAGATTCTACGTCGTCCGACCAATCCCGTCCAAGGTCAGCGGGGGCTCGACTGCGGTTATGGAACGTGATTGGCCGGACGGCGTAGAATCTTCGCCGTCCGAGAGACATCGAACGCGGAGTTATAGTCACCGTGGAAACATCTACCATATGGGACAGAAAGAACAGTCTACTATGGTCCTTTCTGCCTTCGGACCGCATATGGCCAGTGCCGAAATAGCTCAGTTGGGAGAGCGTTAGACTGAAGATCTAAAGGTCCCCGGTTCGATCCCGGGTTTCGGCAGTTTTGCACGTTAAAGCTCTAATGTTCAAGCCTGTGTAGACCTTTTAGTCTCAAGTTTCAGTCATTTTTGAAGTTCCGTGCTCGATTTGGATGATACGGGCATTGGGACTTACGCGCTAACTACAGATGACATTGGAATCGAATTTCTCTGGCTCAATTTAACTTGTCGCTGAACGTGAGCCTTGCACGCTCGAATTTCTCGGGCTCAATTTACAGTGTTGCCGAACGTGAGCTTGCGTGCTCATATTTCAAAGCTGTTTGCCCGGGTTTCTCGGGCTCAATTTGCAATGCCGTTGAACGTGAGCCTTCCATACTCAAATTTCAAGGCTGTTGGGCTCGAATTCATCGGGATCATTTTACGTCGCCGCTGAACATGAACCATGGGTACTCGAGTTCTGGGTTTCATTTTACACGCCATTGAACGCGAGCCTCGTGCAATCAAATTTCATAGCTTTTGCACTCAATTATATTGATTGCACTCAAGTTTTATTGATATGGAACGTGAACTTTGTGTAGTCATTTCCATAGCTGTTGGACTCGAATTTCTTGGTCCCTGAAGTTGAACGTAAACTGATGGAGTGTTGAAGGATTCCTCGCTGGTCTGCTGTGACCGTTCAACTCTCCGTGACTATTGACCTCCGTGTGACCGTTGACGCCCACCTGCGTATGACTGGTGACCTCAATGGCAGCTGTTGACCTCGACCTCTGTAACTTCTTACCTGAAGACCGTTGCAGTATCTCGTATGTGACCGTTGACCTCCCTTTGACCGTTGACCTCCCCGTAACCTCTGACCTCTCTGACCTGTCGATGACCTCTGTGTGCCAGCGGGCCGAGCCGGAGGACGCGGCCGAAGTCCAGCTGAAGCACAGCTGCCAGATATGTAACAAGGCGTTCCGCAAGCCATCAGACCTGGTGCGGCACGTCCGCACCCACACGGGAGAGAAACCCTTCGCCTGCGAGATCTGCGGCAAACGGTGAGCGCGGCGAGATGTGCAACACAATGTGAGATCAGCGAGATACATTGCACCGTAATGGGATATGTTATACGGCAAACAGGCGGTAGGAGTACATGTTTTGCCGTAATATTGTTTTTTAATTACGAGATAATTTTGACTGGTGTGTATTTATTTATTAGTTACATTATAGTTACTTGCAAGTTTCACTTTACGTTGTTACATTGGCTTTTAAGTCCTGTAACAGTAAGTATGGGCTATACGATCAGCGTAACATATGTCAACCATACCACTCTTCGGTCTCCCTCAGTTTCACGGTGAAGTCGACCCTGCTGGGTCACATGCGCACCCACTCCGGGCAGCGTGACTTCCATTGCCTGGTGTGCAAGGCGTCCTTCAGCACCAAGTGCTCGCTGCGCGTCCACTCGCGGCTGCACACGGGCGCGCGGCCGTACGTGTGTGAGGTGTGTGGCCGCGCGTTCCGCACCTCGGGACACCGCAGCATCCACATGACGACGCACGGCTTCCAGCGCGGAGGCCGGCGCGCCGGCGCCGCTGCGGGCGAGAAGGCGGCTGACGGGCAGACGGAGGGACGGCAGGAGGGCGGTGCTCGTGGCGAACAGACGGCTGGACAGACGCTGACGGCCCAGCTGCAGGTGAGACCGCGCCGGCACACGTCCGCCTGCCTCTGTAGTCGATGAGCAGTCAGTGGGTGGTTGTGCGGATAGACGGAGGACCGTAGGCCTTTCCGGCCTGCTGTTCGTATTTGATTTGTATGTTTTCTGCAGATGACATAGTAAGACTTCTTACCTCCTCCGTCCCTCCTTGGTTCTTATATCGGTCCCTGCCCTCTCCCCCCGGCCTGTACCCCATACTTCCCGCCGACTTTTCCATATTCCCCTATACCCTCTGCCTAATGGTCAACTTTCATACTGCCGTTATTCGTCTGTAGGACCCCGATTACCGATGCAGCCCAGTGCCCTAAAACCCATGCATCTTCCTCACCACGTCCCCCCCCCCCCCTGTTGTTCGTCAGGGAGTGTTGGAGGAGCTGACTGCGGGGTCGGCCGGTCAGAAGAGCGCCGCCGGCGGCAGCCGGGGTCGGTCGCAGGCACGGACCCAGCTGGTGACCTCCGACGCTATCCTGGAGGAAGACGCGGACGACCCTGGTGTCCAGCTGAAGCAGGAGGATCCGGCGCCGGCGTCTGCAGCTGTGGGTCAGCCGGCCGGCGGGGAGTCGGTGCTGCAGCTGGAGGCCGGCCTGGCCGAGCAGCTGCAGCTGGTGCTGGCCTCCCAGACGCCGGTCGGCGCCTCTGGTCTGCCCATGGACACAGAGCTCCGTGTCCAGCTGCAGATCGACGCTGACGGAAGGATTGTTGGAGTCGAGGCGGTGCCGCCGACGGAGGAGGAGGCGGCCGCCGCGGCGGAGCCGGCGGCCGGCGGTGACGGCGCCGCCGAGCCGGCAGCGCGGCCCGACCCGGAGCAGGCGCGCACGCTCCGGCAGGTGGTGGCCGGCGCGCTGCAGGAGGTCGGCGCCACCGGCAGCCTGCGCTGCACCGTCTGTGAACGCGCCTTCACCAGCCAGGGTCAGTGGCGGCGCCACATGCGCACACACGGAGTGGAAGTGGCCGCGCCGGCGACCGGCCGCTCGGCGCACATCTGTCCCGACTGCCTGGCCTCGTTCCCGACGGCCTCTCAGCTGACGCGCCACCGCCGCACGCACACCGGCGAGAAGCCCTACAAGTGCGAGCTGTGCGAGCGAGCCTTCTCGCAGAAGAACGCGCTGCAGGTCCATGCCATGACGCACGTCGGTGAGCGGCCGCACACGTGCCCGTTCTGCGGGCATGGGTTCGCGCAGAAGGGTAACATGCGCACTCACATCCGACGCGCTCATCTGAAGAGCGCGCTCGACACTCTGGTGGTGGACGCCGGAGCCGTGGAGGAGGGTGGCGCCCAAGGCAAAGCCTGAGCGAGGCAGGGGCGCAGAGGCGGCGGCTGGGTGAAGTGTGAGCACGAGAGGGAATGAACGGGGAGTGTGGTCAGTGGTGAGATTCGCCAAATTTTGTGAGGTAGCGTAGAAGTAGTGGTGATACTAAGGACTCGTGATTTTCCGAGATAAGTGATCAAATGTGCATGCAAGCATGGCGGTCGTGTGCTTCTACCAATGGAGGTGGCAGCATGAATCTCAACGGCTGTGATACGATTTGCGGAGAGCGTTTCATGACTCGCGTGTTGATGTTGCGATAATTGATTGGTGTAAATATGAAACCGAAGCCATGGCTAATGTTAGTTCCATTGCTCTTCAACGTCTATCTCGTTTCTTCAGCGCTTCGGTTTGAAATCAAACTGCAGCTGTAGTTGTGTCCGACTTCGTATCATTGAAACCATCCGGACAGTGTTTTCCGTAGTGTTCTTTTGCTTCACAAAGACTCAGCTGATCTCCCTATTGTTTGCATGGTGAATAATAATTTGCTAGAATGCTATTTCTGCCTGTGGTATTTCTACAACAGAAGAACTGCAATCTACAACAGCTCGTACCAAAATGACATTTTGCCACAGATTTTTCTCTATCACGATGTTTTCCAAATCCATGCCAGTCCATGCGTCCATGCTGTCTTGTCAGGTTTTGCTTTACGCCGCTTAGTTTTGACCGCTCCCATTTACTCAAGTCTTTAACTGAGCTCATTCTTTTCGAAAACTCCAATCTTCCTTGATATCTACAATTAACAAAAGACAACCAGCCAGTCTCCCAATCACCGGAGGCGCCATGTCCAAGAGTTTCGCGTGCCGTCCTCCGCCGGAGCGGGACGGCATCTGGATGAAGGATCGGTTCTACCCCACGCCCCCCGACGACCACTACCAGTCGACGGCCGGAGCGCTGTTCGCGGACCGCACCGACGCCGCGCCTGACCGGCCGCTGCACACTGGTCGGAAACGCTCCAGCGAGAGGCCAGCGGCCTTTCCGCAAAAGTTTTTTGCTTGTTATTCCACAACTAGTGAAGCAAACTTCATAAAACTTTGCATACCTTCTCTGTCATATGTAAGCTATCATTTGGATGTCAAGCACTAAATATATGACGTGAATCTGCTAAGTTATGACGTCATAATTGAGTATAATACAGGATCTAGCACCACTTTAAGTGAACAAGGGAAATTGGAAGCTGCTATTCGGGCACCGGGAATGGTTTCATGCACTCCTTGCAAGGTCCGGTGCTTCACTTTAGCATTGTTGACTTTGCGTGACGTTATTTATGACGTCACTAAGGCCATATAAGTTTTTCGTCAATAACTCCTGATCAGATGGAGCTAGAGAGTCGGGAAAGCCACCATTGGACTCGGGAAGACCTGCCGAATCGAGTGATATGCGATATGTCCTCCTTCAACCATTTTCGTGACCTGAGGGGCTCCGACCTGACCTTGACCCGAGGTTAACGCCTTAAGTTGACTTCACCCGAACACCAAGTATAGCATTCGACGCTCCTGAGCTAGACAAACACGATGATGCCAAAATCGCGGCAGTGCGACCATTTTTGGCAAAGTAATTAACCTAAAACCGAGCCCGTGCCTTGTGGCACTTACCTGACCTAAGAGGTCACTGGCTGACCTAAGACCTTAAATCGGGTAGTACTTGCTGCGTCTTATAACGGCACACAAGCTCGTTTTTTTCCCGCGAGGCTGTAGCTCAATTAGAGGCGAAACGGCGAGGGAGTTGTATCAACCCTCCCCGGTCAATATAGAAAACCAATCGGTCCGGCCAGGGCTAAATACCGGAATTGTGATCTAATGTAAAAAGACGGCCCAAGGTAACCTGACGCCAGTGACAGGTGTCCTGTATTCGCAGCGTCTTATATTCACGAAGGTCTCAGTTTCCACTTTCTTCAGCCGAGTGATGGTTACTAATAGCAAGGCTCTCTAAATGCAAGCCGTAATCGCCACGCAATATGTGGAAGGCTTTTGATGTCAATACATACATAAATGCAATAATAAAACCATATTGTATGCGCTTTCCACAAAATTCATAAACTCAAGCGCGTCTGTTTTTAATGACCAGTCAACTACGCATGGATGCGTGCAGGCCACACAAGTCAGCGTAAGCCGGGCGCGGCCAGCCCCCGTTCACGAGCCTCAGAATTCCTTTACCGTGACGTCACGTGGGCGGCAAAAATCCCTTCACCCCATAACGATCCATACAAATGAGGCCGAGTTTTGAGCTGGGCTGACGCCCAAGTTGAGGGCTAAAATTTTATAAAAAGCATACCATTTGACTCAGTAAGGCTTGATTTTTCCAAAACCGGGCCTCAATAGGTCGAATTCAAATGAACCAAGCATTAATTTTGCCTTTTAGATGAGGCCTGCAAATTTCGATGAAGTTTTTTCTCGTGAAGGAAAAAAAATAGTGCTACCAAATGCGTCTTGCGCCGCTTTTGCAAAAGTTAGATACTAACGCCATTTTCTATCAATAATATGCAAATTTATTATGATTTTGGCCAAATCGAATGGCAAACATTCACTTAACAATAGCAAGACTTCTATGAGGTGCATTGTTTTGGCGAGTGATCTATAGTATGCTTCAAAAATACCACTGGAACTTGGTATGCATCATACTGCACTACCAAAGGAACTGAAGACTCGTATCTGAGCCACTTTGAATGCAAGATAATGGGCTGAAGTGTGAAAAAGGCTGTGTTATGCCTTTCAAGAGAAGAAAACATGCCAGTATTGGTCTTTTAGCACAAATATTTATTTCTAGTGAATATTAATAATGTGTAAAATCATAAAATGTTGAAGTTCACTTGATACGAGAACAATCAACAGATCACCAAAGCAAGGGACCTGGTTGACTGGTCTTGTTGAGTCCTTTTTTACATTTCTCTCATCCAATAAGTACCTAGTTAATTGAGTGAGTATTGTCTACTATTATAATTTGTGGTTAATACCTTATCATAGAACATTGTGAGCCACTGTCGTGCTGCCGCAAGGCGCAAATGAGCAAGCACAAGTGCTACAGTGACATGAATCATTATGAATGTATTTCCAAGGTGGCATGTACAATAAATGTTACAAGGGTGGAGTATGTTCTTTTATGAAATGGAAATCATTTAGAGATACAAAACATCACATGATTCAGAAGAATATTGGTGAGCTGATGATATTTTATGTTCGTACTTTAATAGCACCCATTAAAATCATTTTCATTTTGTTGAGCAGTGCTCTTGAGATAATGGGTGACCGGGACGGGTCAAGTAATTGAGTTGAAGAACTATGCTGAAATATGAATACAACACTAAACATTTTCAGCACGAAAAACCATCACCTTCTTCGTCCACTCCAAACACATCTATTTTTGAATGCATATTTCACACTCAGGAAACCTTAATGTAAGGCTGGCTGAACTGCAGGTTCATTAGCTACGTTAGACTGTGCCCATGCTGCCCACAGTTCCTTGCATAAGAAGACCAGTGAGTGATGAAGTTCTAACCTCTAAATCATTGAAGTCACTTAGAAACATGGTCTGGCACATTTTGCACAGCTATTTCAATTTCATATAATCCAGCAAAAGATATGTTGAAAGTCGTATGGAAACCATGAATAATGAATGTGTACTGGAGCAGCCAATCTGCAAATATGGTAACTTCGACGAGATCTTGTTGGTGTGGGCTTATTCGGCTGGTGCGGATTTGGCATGGTGCGGAGCGGATTTGGCTAATGGCTTGGTGCAGTGCGGATTTAGTGTGGTGGGTAGGTTAAGGTGGTAGGTTTTAGGTTGTAGATTTAAGATTGTAGGTTGTAGGTAAGGTTAGGCCAGGTTTGGTTAGGTTTGGTTTGGCTTGACTTGATTAGCAGGCATCTCTGGGTAGAGCGCCTCTTCCTGGTTGGAAAAACAAGTGTGGGGCTTGCTTAACGACTACCACATTTTTTTCTAATGCATGATTTTACTAGATTTTACAATTTGAAACATGTCAAAGACTGTTGAAGAGGCAATTGGTGTACATTGCTCAGACCATCACTTTGTCCATATAGCCAATGCAGCATTATTATGAGGGCTAATTATTGCATATCTGATGGCCATGCTCAACCCAAAATTTAAAAATATTCATAGCTGAATAAAAATTTAATCACTCATCAGCATTTCAATTTCATTGTGCGATACAAACCGACCTCTGATGAACAGACACTATAAGGGAAAATAATGACAGAAATGAGAAAACCTGGTGATATTATAAGCGATCTGATAAATAAAGCTAGAGTCGTCTGAATCCTCAATAGTCCTATCTAAAATCGCAAATTTGCCCATTATCACTACCTAATGGGCAAAAAATCCACAAACAATACCCTATATACACGGCCTATACGTCCTTGAACAATACCTTGCATTATAAATGTCTCACGCAAGTCATTTATGTATTTGCAAACGGCTACCAAATCGCTACCATATTATGTGACGTCACCTGGGCGGCAAAAATTCTTAATCTTGGGGCGCGGCGGCCGGGCCGAAACTGGGGCGGGGCGGGCGGTAGTTGGGTAGGAATAGCGGCTCCTGCAAATTTTGCGCAAATATGCGCAGTTAGCTTTTATGTTGCCCTGGTGTAAATTTAAATCCTGCTTCATCTCACAAAAAATCAGAGTGGGACTAGATGGGACTACCTGTTGTTTCCTTACCTAAACTTTGCAGTTATATTCCAGAATCACTCTAGGAGAGCCCTCATAAAAAAGCTACAGTAGATCTTAGTTGGGGAAAAAGTATACCAAAAAAATTGCACTGACCAGTCGGCAACTTCATAACAAACATTTTGATGCATAATATGTGGGATTTCAATTTGGTGTCTATCAGCAATAAGACTCTGAATATCCGGCTCAAGAAACCTCTTGCTCCGCGTCAGTTTCCGAGTTCTGGGAAACCCCATCTTCGGGGGCTGATTACAGTTATTTTTGGTCACTCGGATTAGTTTTTTTGGCCTAATTATAATAATTTGATCAATTTCAAATCGATCTATATAAAAAATAATCCGAAACTCCGGAATCGCCCGTGGCCTCTCGTGAGGGCGTTTCCGACCAGTGTGCGCTGCCCAGGAAATTCGAGCTGATGGAAACCCTGCGTTCCGAGCACCTACGCTTTCCGTTCACCATGCACGATAACAGGTACCAGCATGAGACACTGGGAGAGAGCCTGCGCGGCACGCACCGCAAGGCGCGGCCTTGTTGCATCCGCAGGGAACACTCGGAGAGTGAGCCGGACGCGTTCATAGACACGGCGGGTCGGCCGACCAGCGAGCAGCGACTGCAGACCATCGCCAGGTAGGGAGGGACGGGACGGGATGGGCCATCGTGTGGCGCGGGGGAGACCCGGGACTTTTGATAAGACCATCACTAGTTGCACATAGGAGACTGAAAGGGATAGGCAATCTTCCAGTGCATGGGAACGGGGAAGCCAATACTGTTTCCTGGCGCGTATGGGGAATTAGGAGGGGAAAACCTATCGCCTGGCTCGGATGTAGGTAGTTTACTGCATGGGGTGGGAGTAACTGTTGTACTACACATTCCGCAATCATTAGTTTGTGACAACTCGCTCCCTCCATCCGCGGTTCCCGCAGGGAGACGTTCCGGGTGCCGGTTGACGGGACGGCCGCGCGAGCACGCCGCTTTCCCCACGAGCAGCGGTGTCCGTTCACGGACGGGAGCTGCGAGCACCGGCCGGTGGCCCAGAGACGCTGTGAGCCGGCGAGCACCGGACCACCCGCCGCCGCCGAGGCCTGAGACGGGCCGGAGGAGCGGCAACAGAACGTTTTCAAAAGGCCAGGCGGAGACGATTTATTCCTCGGGACACGATGGAGAGGATTGGTGTCGGGAGAACGTGCAGCACGGCGTCAGTGATAATGTAGCGTGATGACTGATGAGTCAGCTCGCCCGGCCCAGGCTGATATTATTAGACCGGCGTAAGTAGGGTGCAAAACAGTGAAACTGAAGAGAGCCGAACCCAGAACCACAAACTGCTGCACAATATTGACTCAACAGCACCGTACCTATGCAGGATCAGCTAGAAGATGAGCCGAGCCTTCAACGAACGAACAAAAAGCGAAATAATTACTTGTGAACGACCGGCAACCAAACGCCGGATCCAAAGATCTTGAAACCACGATTCGGAATCATCGGACACTTTTAACCAGTCTTTCACTGAACGAGCAAAGCTGCACTGAAGTGTCATCGCCAACTGTGTGAAGACGGAGCCGGAGGGAAGCCCTGCTGATGGGGCGGTGTCATCTTTGATGCGCCATCGACACTCGTAGAACGGCCATCGACCAAAGAATGTAGAGTGTTTCTAGGTCAGTCAAACACCAGTTTCAATATAAGCAACAATTCTTTATATATGGAATCTAAATAGTTTTCCTTCAACACTGGGTCAGATGACAGCATAACAGATCGATACATACAATACATCGTGCTTTCTCAGGCACCCTATACATCGCGTAAATGTACGATGCGTGCATTGTCCTCATGCATACAGTTTGATTTGCTCTTGGTTGCACAAAACACAGTGGCAAGAAGTCATGACATCTTAATGCTCTCTTGCTGAACATTATCAAGCAACATTGCAGCATAAATGGAGGCGTCGACGCCAAAACCGTAGCTCGAAAACAAACGTGACTTACATGGCAGGATAATGACTTACTCGACACACCTCTAGAATAAACATATTTTAACAGTTTCTGTGAAAACAAAAACATCACATAACAATTCATTATACAATGCATAGCGTCACACTGGCGGCTTGTTCGCAAAGCGCGAAGCGTGAACATATGTAGTCAACGACTCAGCAGCCCTGTGCCTCCTTCGATATGAACCCCGGATACCAGGGGAATTATTCGCACACCCAACAGTTCTAGCCTTAGCTGACTGAATACTGCGGCGATAACACAAATGCGCTGCTTCACCACAGCTGATATATAGCCATCGACGCCACCAGCACGGCAGCGCTCAGATCCCGGCCGCAGGTTCAATCCCCTGACGACTCCGAATTGGCCCTCGTCGGTCACTCGTTGGTATCCCGCCGACCATTGAGGCTGCGCCAAGCGGTCGCTCCTTACTGTCCCGCCAACCACTCAGCCCTAGGCCCCCAGCACTCTTCGGTCACTCGTTGCTGTCGGACCGCTCGTCGTAGTCTGACCCGTCGCCGTCGGCTCGGTGCGGTGACCCACCGGCCGACAGCGGGCTCTCGCGGCCGGCCAGCGCCGCGTGCTTCTCCAGCAGGTGTCGCCGCAGGTCCAGTCGGTAACCGTAACTGAGCGGACAGTGCGAGCACGCGTGCTTCCGCACCGAGTGCACACGCTGCATGTGGCGAGAGATGTCCCGTTTGCGCATTATCCGGTTACAGACAGGACACGGCCGGTGGGTGGACGCTCCGCCCGCTGGGGAGGGAGGGGAGGGGGTACAGGTTACAGACGGGACATGGTCTGTGGGTGGACGCTCCGCCCGCTAAGGAAGAGAGGGGGTAATAATTTGATGTCAAATATTGGCACCTATATTTAATGGTCAAACAGTAGATTCAAAGATGTTACCTATGACTTATAATGGTTGTTAGACTTCAAGTACACACGAGAAGGTAATCCACACAAGGCAGGCCCGGCCTGGAAGTGGAACTCACCTGAACCGTCATAGCCAAGTAGTTGTGAGGGATCTGAAACGAACAAACACAGCCGTTCATACACATTCTTTTGAAAACATCACAAGCATATCGATAGACATTTTGTCCCATCTGCCCGTTTCCCATTACTCAGATGCTGTTGCGTGGGCCGCTGGCTTCCTTTCTATACTGTTCAATGAGCAGGTCCAGTCCACCGGCGGCAGTTTTCGCTGACGGATGGTATCCGCGGATGACCTGTCCCTCCCCTTCTGCCGTATAAAGGCAAAACCCATTTTGTTCGGGTGACCTCTGACCTGAGGTAATGGCTTCTGACCCGACATAATGGTTTTTGTCTTTGCATGGCAGCCTTTATGACTGACTCACTGACTACTCTGATAATAATCAGTGTGGGGCTGCCACTCCACTCGCCCCCTTTATGGTCCACCAAAGAGGGCCAATCAATCACTTTATGGTGACCAACTGCTGTGAGGAATTGCCCCTTCCCCTTTTATGACTCGCACAGAAATCTCAGTCCACCACTTTATGGCGGTCAACCTGAGCCTGCTAGTTACTGTCCCCTAACCCCTTTATGACTCGCTGAGTAATCCCAGTCCATCAATTTACAGCAGACAGCCTGAGCCTGCCATATAACTACCGTTCCCCTCTCCCCTTTATGTCTCGCCGACTAGGTCCAGTTTGCTGGCCAGGGTACACTGTATAGTGTATACAGCTACCCGTCCCATCTACCGCTCCCATAATCCACTCACCGAGTAGGTCCAGTCCGTCAATGGTGGTCAGCTGCTGCGAGGGACTGCGGCACGACTCCAGGCTGGCGGCGCGCTCGGAGCGGTCGGCCCGGTCCGGCGGCTCGCCGCTCGGCTCCCGTTTGACCTCGGCTGACTCCAGGCGTAGTGGTACGCCGGAGGGTAGACGACAGGCGGCGGCCGCCGCGGCGGAGAGCTCCGGCAGACCCGACTGATGGCGGAGGGGGCGGGAAGGGGAGATCACACACAGGCCTGGACATGCTGTCTCTTAGTGAAAAGAGAAGACAGTGCTGAGCGAACGGCAGCTTTTGTCGTTGTGGCAGAGAAATCAGAATACACACGACATACTACAGTACATTGACTATTGAATTATCGATGACATTGACAACATATAAGACACGGAGACAGAAAAACCGACGAAGTATATAAATCCGTCTGATATGAAAATATTACGCAAAACTGGACTTTGTATTATTGCAAGGAAAAACAGCTCTATGAGTCATACAGACCACGCGGCACGCACCAAACACAAAGAAGCACAACGCCGCCCCTCCCCTCCCCCTCTACCACCGTCGGTCGTGCGCCGCCCGACCACAGACCGCCGGCTGCGGTCGGTCCGGCGCCGCTCCTCCTCTCTCCCTCCTCCCTGCTCTCACCCTGTGGTCGTCGGCGCCGGTGCCGTGTGGCGGTGGTGGCTGGTGTTGGTGCTGCGGCTGGTGTTGGTGCTGCGGCTGGTGTTGCGGCTGGTGTGGGTGGTGATGCTGTGGCGCTCCCGGGCCCACCGCCGGCTCCACACCGCCACGACATAGCGGTGGAGGCGGCGGCGTCTCGGCCGCCGTCAGCTCCGGCGGCGGCGGCGACGGTGCGTCGCCGGGGTCTCGGCGTGACCTCTTGCGCCGCGGAGTGGGCGGGGGCTGGGGCGGCGGCGGCGCGGGCGCGGCCGCCATGCTCAGGTCGGGCGGCCCCTGCTCGGGCAGCGTGATGACCGCCTGAACCTCCAGCTGCCGGACAGACGACAACAGAAATAAGATAAAATTCATATCCAATTAAATTTTACTAATATTATGACCAAATCGTACATACAAAGGACAAACAAAATGCCATGCCGATCCCGTTCTGGATAAATTCCAGCAGGAAATCGTTAAGAAATAATAAATCGTTTAATCGTTAATCGTTATAGTCGTGAAATCGATAATAACGTCAAAAGGTTTCAGTACGACTAGGTATGACGAACTCAGTTGTGTTCGTGCAAGCAAAGCACCGCTTCGGCAGATTTCGTTCCGCGCCACTGCTTAGAGATTTCCCTAACCACAGACAAAAAGCCTGGCGGGCCACCTGGCACCTGGTACAAAATTAGGCCCAGAGATTCACCGCAGGCGCAGCAAGCCGGCCAAGAAACGGGACAAACCGCAAACATGGAAGGACGCCGCACGGAACAGGAGTTTCTGAGAGTGATGCATCCACAGCTCCAGCCAAGCTCCAGTCACACACAGGCCCGGACATGTTACGCTGCTGATATACTGTTTCTAAGTGAAAAGAAGGTGCCAGTCCAGTCTATCTCATGACATTACATCAGTGGGTGATATCCCCTAGTGCACAGTGACTTACCGGCTGCTGCGTCATCCGTACCGGAATGATGGACTCAGAAGCCAGGCCGCGAATCTTCAGCAGATCTGTGGAAACATACACACACGAACGGATGTCAGCCACAAAGTATATGAAAGAATTATAGTTGGAACTTGGTCGACAAAGTACTCAAATGAGTGAACCTAGTGCATTGTCAAATCATAGACTTAATTTTGTTAATAAGAATGCATCGAAATCACGCAATGGTATCATACGACCTAATCAAATAAAGATAATTATGGGGCGGATCCCAATATGGCATCGGGACTTGTTGAACCCGATTCCAGCACCCACTGACGGGCCAGTAGCTGCTCGCTGCGGCCGCGCACGTACCTGCCGTCTTGATGAGCTCGGGCAGCAGGTGGTGGGGGACGTTAACCTCGCCGTGGTAAATGAAGCTGACCAGCCGGTGTACGTGCGCCGCCTGAACTCCGCTCGGCAGAACGATCGTCGGGTGGCTGCATGGGTTCTTCTGCGGAGGGACAACAGAGGATGAACTCACTAAAATATTGCACACTTTATCGGTCAAAATGTTTAAATCTGGACAATATTACGATTGTGAGAACTATAGTGGATGAGAAACTTCAGCTACAACAATTTAAATGATAGTCACCAGTACCACACTAGTTTTACGCATCGTCTGTTACTACAACTGCGCGAGTTTCCAAGCTTTGAGGAAGAGATGCCACCCACTGGAGAGAATGTATCAATGGAATCGCCGCCGGCGCCAACTCACCAGCAGGATCTCCTGGAAGAAGGGGCTGCACGCGGAGAGGACACATTTGTGCGCGCTGATGACGGCGTCGTCGCAGGCCAGCGACACGTCCAGAAAATCCTCCCGCTCCAGGAAGCCAGAGAAGGCGTCGGCCAGCGACTCGTGGTAGTTGTTCCACCTGAGACAGAACTCTGGCGGCGTGCCCAGGGCGCCCGGGTCTGGGTGGCCCGGCGGCGGCGCCGCGCCGAGCGCAGCGTGTGGGTCCGCGGCCGCCAGCGTGACGACAGCGGGGACTGATGGAACAGTCGGGCTGCCCAGCTGGGCTGATAGTGGTGCAGTTACCAGCTGATAGGAGCAGTGCAGCAGCAGTGCCACTGTCAGAGCCAAAGACTGACAGAAACTGGATGTGGCAACTGAGTGAGGATATAGCACTCTGTTGCTGCCTTTGCCCACCTTTTCCTCCTTGGTCCTAGCTGCAGTTCAGAGACTGTCTCAGCACTGAGCAGAGCTCCTTTCTGATCAACACATCAGCTGAAAGCTCAACTCCACAAGAAAGCCTCCATCACTCTGAAACAAGCATGAGCAAAAAACAATCAAACTCAAGTACCGTAAAATGGGGTGTTAAGGGACAGTGGGGTGTTAAGGGACAGTTGCATGGGAAAAACTTTGAGTCATATTAACTTCCTAATTTGAGAAGGTTCAATAAAAACTTCAGTGTGGTAGTTGACACTGTTTTGCTCTTGACCATAGGAGAAAATGGTATGGTTTTTCATGCAAGTGATTTGGTTCAAAAATGGATTTGAAAATCATGCTACATTTTCACAAAATTGAAACATCTCCAAAACTCTGTGTGTACCACATAAACTAGTGGGTGTACAGGGAAAATGAATGCATAGGTGTATTGTCACATGTATTGCACATGTTTCCTGAAAAGCTTATGCAAATCCACCCATTCATTCATCATCCTCTTCCTCTTTTCCGGATACATGCATATTTTGGGGTGGATGTGGGGTGCTAAGGAACAGGGAAGGAAAAATAAAAAATAATATCTAAATATAATTTAATTAAGTAGGCATGGAAAACACCAAATTCCACATAAAATGCTGGCAAGTTCATGCTTTTATCTCTAACACAGCTTAAGTTATGTAACAAAACATCTCAACACTCTCTTTTACAATGATGGGTCAATGGAGACTGATGTAAGTAAATGTGATGTCATCATAAAAAGGCTAAAACAAAGAGGGCAACATAATGACAAGTGACAAGCTTCAGCATGGGTTTTTATTGATGACAGAAGATTACTTTTTGGTTCTGTTTATCTTATAATTAGCACATTTTCCACAAGTGTAAACTGCATTACACGTAATTGGCTAAAAAGGTCATTAGTGGTGAATGAACCTGACTTGTTTTGTGACAGAATATGCAAAACATTTCAATAAATAAATTGTGTGCCCTTCCACACCCCAATTGTGGGCATTTGATGACCATTTCTTGGAATAATATAGGTGTCCCTTAACACCCCACATTGGGGTGCTAAGGGACAGTGATGAAAAATAATAAAAATAATATGCAGGTATAAATCTTAAAAACTTTAATGTAGCAGGCATGTAAAGCACCAAATTCCACATAAAATGCTGACAATTTGATGCTTCTATCTCCAACCCTTCTTGAGTAATATAACAAAACACCTCAAAACTGTCCCTTAACACCCCGTTTTACGGTACAAATTGGATGATGATGTAAATAATAAACCAAATTATTACAAATGCATTCAAATATATTCAAAAACACACAAAGCTTTCGGTTCATGGAACCTTGATCACTGTGCAAATGAGTATAACAATTGCTGTAACCGTCTAAAAATTCTTTGAAATTAATCAGCCGCGTAAAGATCAAGTACATATATTTTATAGCTAGAGGCCATGTATGTAGCAACTAAGCAGCAGGTGACTTGATCACTGATTTCAACATCATAACCCATAAAAATGATGCAAAAGTGGAGGAAAATGCATACCTGTGCATATTATTGCCATATGGTCAATTTCACAGCAAATATTTAAATTAAAAAGTGCACTCCTAGATTAGGTGGTCCAGAACAGAACATCCACAGAACAGTCAAAGATTTAATAAGCAAAGCTAGTGAGCTTACTTTTCATGCTATCAATACCCATCCAATAAAACAAGAAATGAATCTTAGCTGACAGCTAAATGCAAATGTCTCCACAAGCTTCAAACATAACACTATATAAAATGAGTAATTTTTGACTGACACATGTCACATTCTCCATTTATTTGTTAGGAGTATTTGTATTAGAGGTATGTAACAAACATTTAAACATATCTTCAAAATACTTATAAATACTAAGCCAAAATACTAAGCCTCCCGTTTCTGTAACTGAATGTAATGTATCCTCAAGGACACAGCTCAGACCGTCGTATTAAGTGGATTATTTGCCCACTGGCACCATGTGGTGGCACTAGCAGTGCTTGTTACAAATGTTATTTATCAATGCTAGATATCATAGACTGAATATCTACCTCTTAATTTCTCTATTAAGTCCATCTACTAGGTACATGCTTATATCTACATATTAATGGGTATCATACGTCATCAGCTGGCCAGCCAGCTGACACAATCCAGATATGACCAAGGCCTCACAGCTCAGCCCTAGCCCACTTCAACCCGACCCCCACCAAACACGATTTGGCAGCACTGTAAAGACGTCTGCTGGGCGTGAAGTTTTCCCTTCACCATAGGGTTTACACACAAACTGGTCAAAGTTTGAGCCAGGATATACTAGTCTAAAAATGCAAAAAACGAACAAATTTTGGCATCAATAGATTCAGCATTTCATCGTGTGCCTCAAACCGTCCATCATTTGGCCTCAAAGGAGGTAAAAATTGTTCAAAATCGAAGTTGAAAAGATGCTTTCTGAGCACATAATCTGGTAGCAATCACGTGACCTGCTATAAGCAGCTTATCGATAATTTACAAACATAATTATTAATATGCTGCTTTAAACAACATTAATCATTCATTTTGAGCTTTCAGTACTTAAAATAAGGTCAAAACATCGCAAAACACAAAAGTTAATACAATAGTCACGTGGGTGTCAGGAAACGTCACAGGTGCGTCAAATTTGTGACTGGGGCTTTACTTTCAAACATCGGATCTACCTGTTTCTTATATGTATCTTGCTTCAACCCATCTTAAAAATATCCTAAAATGCCACTTTTAGCCCTGGCATACCTATACAAGAAGGCCTGCCTTCTTGATAGTGTGATTCAGACTTATTATCAATAAAATATTCTCCTAAATGTAAAAAAAAAACATTCATCACCTCATTCTAATTTTGCAAACAGCAATGGCCAAAAAGTCTGAAAAGCTCGCCTTTGCAAAGGCGTAAAATCTGAAAATGCAAAAATGACTGATTTTAATATCATACTAAACACCAAACAATAATTTAATATATCTATCGATCTTCCTTGAGTTAATTTATCACTTGAGTTATCAATAAGTCATCAATAACTGTAAATGATCAAATGATAAACATTTGCGCCACATTCGCCTAATTTATGCAACGCTGTCCAATTGAGTGAAAGAACAACGCAAAAACGTATAGAAACAACTCCTGATTTAACATAGAATAACCTTAAAGATAGCAATAGACTCAGTCGTCTAACAGGTAGACAAGTGAAAGACAAGAGATCAAAAACTCACACCAAACACCACCCACCAGCCGAGACGAGATCGCAGTCAATCGCAGTGTTTTTGTTTACGAGTTCCATCGCTTGATAGCACTAAAATGCTGCAAAATTTCACTTGACAGGGGTATTTTGAGAACCGAGTCACCTGTCATCGTTTAGCAGCAGGGTAATTATGTTCCGTTGTTCTGACGATAAAAATGAATTTGTATTGCATACAATTTCCATTTGCATTGCATTGCATTTCAAATGGTAGTTTTTTTTTGTTCGCTGCTGCCACAGAGTTTTCTTCATTGGGCAGCTTTTAGTAAAGTAATCTTGGCTATTCGGTATACATTGGTATACATTCACAATCACGCACGTTAGACAATAAAAATGACTGTCCTCAACAAAAACAGCATTTATTCGAGAAATCCCTTCTCTTGAGAACTCTCATGCATATTGAGTGAAACTTACCTAAAACAGAACACTCTGAATGCGCATAACCAATCTTTTCCGAAAAATGATAACAAATGACATGAACACATTTGCACCTTCTGTCGTCAAAGCATCACATTCGACGGTAAGCGTACATTTACACTATGCTAACCCTTTCGAAATTCGAAAAGCTAAGCCTTCCATAACTAAAAGCTTAAGAAAACACTGCAAAAAGTAACCTTATCAAGCAAACAAAATACATTTCATTGCATACCCCACCATTTTATGACAAAGCCCTCCCAAATCCCCACATCACATAGCAGAGGCAAGGTGCTGTGATCACGACCAAATACCCGATCTGAAAACGATACACGCTGGCAAAATCAGCTTTAGTACCGGATACTTCGAATTTATGACGCACGCCATAAAAGGGCTCGCCTTATCGCCTTGGGCTCGCCATCATGCCCGGTTAGGCGCACCCCGAAATATCTTTCAATTTTACAAAGCACGCTACTTCACTGCACCGGTCACCGAAGACTCATCAGCTGTCCTCCCGGGTTACCAGAGCGGAGTTCCAGCCACCGGCGGCTACCCTGACTACGGTGCCTCGCTCCGGCAGCGGCAGGGCCCGGGGCAGTGACCGGTCACAGGGCGGCAGGGCCAGCTGACTATGACCGTTCCAACCCCAGCCGATCACCGAGCCGTCCTCTGTCGGAGGGGGGGGGGGGGAGGTCAGAGCGGAGCAGAAACCGGTCGCACGATCGGACATCGTACTAATGTAATACTACACTGGTTTATAGTTTCTGACATAACTCAGCATGTAACGTAAGAAATTGAGTTTTATACGCTGAATATATTAAAGATTAAGAATACGAGTCAAAGCAAGTTGGAAGGACCCACTAAATGTCCTCCTGTCAACTACCATTTGAGGATAAATCACCATTACAATCACAACCAAACCCCTACAGCCCAAGTCTTACCGAGCAGCGCCAGCGTGTGTCGCAAGCCGCAGGCCAGCTGAGTGACGGTGACGTCACTGGGAAGCGCGTCCACCAGCGCCGGCTCGGCAGCCACGTTCACCGCGTCTCCGAGCCCGAGCTGGCCGGACTCGTTCCAGCCCCAGGTGTACACGTCACCGGAGCTCGACAGCGCTGGAGCAGAGTGGCGCTGGATGAGTGGACGGAACCGGACTGGTTTACAAGCTACCTGGGACTTGGATAGTTATGTCATGGACTGGAAAAGTCACGAAACTGAACACTTCCGACAGTCGGACGGAGAACGGCCTGATTTTGAATAGCACATCAGATAACATAATTAGCATTCGGTCAAGAAGCACAGCGCGGAAAGAAACGAGCCCACGAATAGCACAAGGAACGGACCGCTGAACCGACAAGTGGCGACAACCCACTACGAGTGACTTTCGCGTTCGTTATTCGCTAGCGACGGGGGTTTAGTCTAGTCTGGTGGCGACGATGGCCGCGTCACAAACTAGGCGGAGTCAAAACGGAGTGATGTGAGCACAGTCCCAGTAACCCCCGGCGCCGCCCCCGCCCGTGACGCACCCACCGCCGTGTGCCATCCGCCGGCGCACACCTGGGTGATGGCGAGTCCGTCCAGGGCGGTCACCAGCTGAGGCACGTCCGAGGAGCTCAGCTCGCCGGTCCCCAGCTGACCTCGGCTGCGGACATAACAGTGGCATCAGAACAGACGGTAATTATAACCACGATGATCTCGGCTGGGATCATCAGAAAACACCCAGAGACATCACTACGTGGGTCAGAGCTTAGCTTACCAGTTCACCTATAACAAATTTGTAACCACACATGACACATTGCCATCTACCGGTGATCGGTTAGAGAGCCATAGCCCATCCCTAAGCGACTGAGTGGCCAAACTGCCGTCGCCGCAGATTAGTTAAGCGAGTATTAGTTTCGTTGTAGAGCCTGTCTGGTATCGTCGTCACTGACCTGCCGCCACCGTAGTGAACACTCGTCCGGAGCGTGTGAGCAGCACCACGTGCTCTCGGCCGCAGGAGACCGCCTGCAGCCATTCACCGGCCGGTGTCGGTACCCCGTCCAGGGTCAGCAGTGAGCCACCTGGGTCACCAGGGGATGGGAGGCCAGTCATGGAGGTGTACAAAACTCAGGACCCATTCAGAGTTGGCCAAGAGTGAGCTGGGTTACTGGCCTGTGAAAGGGGAGGACTGAATAGGGTTTAGCCACATAAGTAACTGGAGCAATCATTGAAAACTTGAAAAGAAACATCGATCATGGATGGGATACCCCAGCTCATGATGGTTTAAATGTTCCACTGGAACAATGTTTGTAACCTGAAAGCAATTATTGAAAAGTTGGCTACTTTATTTGGGAACAGAAACCATTCTACATGATCAATGTCATGAGAGTGAGCTGCTGACCTGTGTCACAGGCAGCCAATGTGTGTCTGCCGATGCTCACATGACGTGCAGGCTCAGCAGTCTCCTGGCCAGCTGACTGGAGTGCTAGTCGGCGCCAGGCAGTTGTCCTTAGCCAGGTGGAGCCATCAGGATACAGAGCCACCAGCCGATCTTCAGCAGAACACAGCTGATGGCAAAGAAAACTGAGTCATTGAAACTTTGAAAGGATGTGCAATTTCAAGGCCACAACTGATGGGCAAACAAGGCTAGAAAAACCCAGCTGATATCCAGATAGCTATGGCCAGCAGGTTGGCTACCCAGTGCCCACTGTTAAGTCATTGACTGGGCTCATTATAGCCACGGCTTCAGGGGTACTGTTTCTCAGGGGTGAATGGACATGTCAAGCCTCAAGGGCCAGCAATAGCAGGAGATGTATTGGTAACTGGGAGCATGAGAAAACTGCTTTCTTACTATTATATATGTTATAAATTACAATGTTCCATAGTCCTCATGATATCAAAATATAGTGAGGGTGACATTCGGGAGTTAATCAACAAACCTATCCCATATCATATCAGTGATTGAAATTGGATCATAGATGACTATTTTACCATGCTTGGTGTTTCTTGTTCACATCCAGGTGGTGCTTTGATAGTAATTCCATTTCGTTGGACATGCCCTGAGGGTAAAAACGCAATCATCAAAATAAAAAACTTATGATATCCAAAAAAACAAATACAAGATTCTCTGGAGCACTTGTCCTGACAGTTTCAGAGGGTTTTATTTTAAGTTTACTGATTTAGCAGGAGTAAAGTTGATAATACTTAATGACTTAATGATGATTCAAGACATCAACACTTCAACAATTTCACCAGTTACACACTAATACTAATTACCATTAGCACATATGTTGAGAGAATCCCAAGAAAGTGACAAACATGGTTCACATTCCAATGCATCATTTATTCGACACCAAGTTGACACAGATGCATCATCTAAAGAACCTATCTGATGTAGGCCATTGAAACCACAAGCAAAAGTCGAAAATTTCATGATAAAAGCCCACAACCTATTCTCATTACACAAAACAGATACAAGCCAAAAATACACAAGCGTGTGGAATTCATCTTCACCTCATATGTAGCTTGTGCGCCAGTTTCACAAGCACTACTTACTAGGCCAACGGCTGTTGATATTTTTCGTCTTTTCCCCGAGCGCCCCAATCGTCAATTCAGTCAGTATACTGAGCATATACTTTCTTATATACCGTGCTTTCTGCCACATTTTCGGTACACAAATGTCTTTGTCCAGGGGCAAGTCCAGGGGTGGAGAATTAGGGGTTTTGGGGGTGCTCGAGCACCCCCTGAAATTCAAATGTCACCATATAATAGTACTCCAGGGGTGCTTAAATTACGTCTGAGACACAAACTGCTATGCGTAAGACGCGAGGAGAGTGATGCTGCTGGGAAAACGTACCTATATGTGCTTTTCTACGCAAGAATTCGACGCTTCCATTCGCCAGGTGCTAGAAAAGCACCCCCTGGGATTATGACAATTCTCCGCCCTGTCTTTGTCCATCAGGTTATATCGGCCAATCATCTACAAATTCCATACTAAAACTTTTCCTAAAGTCTCTTCACTTCTCATTGTGAATTCCCGTCGGCGATATTGGTAAATAAAGAAATGAAATGCCGACCGAACGCCATCAGTCAGACATCCTCAACACCAAGATTACTTTACTACCTCAACACTACGCTCACGATTTTCCTTCGTGGGACAAATAGGCGTCCTCTTTCCACCTTCAATATCGAAACGTCACGTCTAAATACTCCAATGGCGCGTGATAGATCAAACATAAGTGACGCAGGTTACAGTTTATTGTACGAGACACGCAGCGTCAGGCAGCTGAGGAATATCTAATATTGCACCGTCAAGTCGCGAAGACTTCGTCGCCCGTGACACCACACAAATACACTAAATCCGCAATAGAAACACAGTCTTTTGTTGACACTCAACATCATACGTGCAGATCCCAATGACTCGAAACATGTTGCAAAACGTAACAAAAATGTCTCACTGGCACACCATTACCTGTCCATCGTTTACCCGCTCCCGACGACTACCCGGCAAAAATTCTCAGAGTCCATTATCACTGGTACGGGATAGGGCTTCACGGCGACTTTTATCACATCTACCATTACACACCTATCGAAAAATATACCGGCTCTACAGATTCACGGACTCGCGTGTGCCTGGTACAAAACCGCCCTCCCGGTCACACCTCACAACACTGCTGAGCACCATCAACCATCGACCACCGATAATAACCATCAACCACCGACCAGTCAGCGGCCGGCGACGTCACTACTCGAGCTCGACCAGCACCTGCTCGTCTACAGTATCGCCCTCCTTGACGTGCACGGCCTTGACCTTGCCGGCTATGGCGGCCACCAGGGAGTTCTGCATCTTCATGGCCTCGATGACGCACACCTCCTGGCCGTCCGAGACGAGGTCGCCCACGCCGACAGCCACCGACTTCACCAGACCGGGCATCGGCGAGGCCACCTGCCGGCTGGCGTCCGCCTGTACGGGACACGGGGGGTTAGGAGTGGGGCTGGAGCGAACGCGTGGATGATGTGGACTGAGGAGAAATACCTAACAGCAAATTGATAGTAACTGATGAACAGGGCGTGCAAAAACAATGTGGGATATCACCTGACACAAGAATTCAACACGCTAGGTGACTTAAAATAGAAACAGCCTTACAAAAAAAAAAAACGCTCGTCACCGAACCATATTCAAGGAATCTGCAAGAGACCTGCCTTACCTTTTCTCTCTTTGGCATGAGTTTGAAGTATTTGTAAGCTGTGTCCGAGTACACCTGAACGTCGAACGCTGTGCCACGGAACCTGAAAAACACAACACCATGTCACGAACAATAAAATAAATGACCATTCCTTGTTCTGATACAAGACAACCATATGCCAAGGAAAAGTAGATCGACTGCTGAATTCTGAGGGATATTACGTTCCTAAAATGCCTCTTTCACATCGTCGCTAAATCGACAGGAAATCTCAGCCGGCCTGCCTCCACCAACCACCGCACCGACCACAGACTGGCGTCTGACCCACGGCGCCACCAAACGCTGCCGTCCCAACTCCGCCCACCGCCCCGGGCGACGGCCGGTCAGCGGCAGGGGCAGAGCCAGGGCCGGCTGCCGGGGAGGCGCCGCCGCTGCCGCACGGTACGGAAACTACGGATGGGACCACCGCGCTAGCTGTGCCACTGTGACACAAATCCCCACCCTCTCAACGGACCCAGCCGCCCCTGTTCACCTTTAATGTTCTTAATATGGCCAAAGCACTAACAACAGCGAATTATGCTCTTTTTAATCGTACTTGTCTTTCTAATGTGGCTATCCTTGCAATTAAAATTCTTGTGACGCTTCATGATCCAAACACCGTCGCTACGGTCAATCTGCCACCCGAGGTCGATCACACCCGCTCACCTGGCGGTGGCGTCGCTCCTGATCGCGCTATGCCGTCCGATGTCCGCCCGCTCGCCTAACTGTAGCGACTATCCTGACGCCATGTTTTGCCGTCCCATGTCCGCCCGCTCGCCTCGCCTGAGCCGGAGCCCGCTCTGTCGTCCTAGGTCCGTCCATTCAGTACAGTAGCTAGCTCACCTGACTGTGGCGTCTCTTCTTACCCCGCTCAGCCGCTTGATGTCGCCCCCCTCCCCCCACTCACCTGCAAGTTCGGTGAGGTTAGATAAGATTAGGTTAGCTGGTTGTGTCCGCCCGCCACCTGACGGTGGCGTCTCCCCTGACGCCGCCGTCATCCGATGTCCGCCCGCTCACCTGACGGTGGCGTCTCCCCTGAGCCCGCTCTGCCGTCCGATGTCCGCCCGCTCACCTGACTGTGGCGTCTCCCCTGACGCCGCGCCGCAGCAGCTGTACCATCTCCTCTCTCCATCCACGGCCGTCGAGATGACCGGCTGCGCCAGGTTGAACGTGTCGGCCACGAGCAGCGAGCGGCCCTCCACCGTCACCTGGTACCCGTCCTGGACGGCTTCGACTGTGAGCGGCACGTCACCGGCCGGGCCGCAGAGGACCACCTGTAGACGAAGAGGAGGGGTTACACTGCATCCTCGACACTTTCCGGGCCACGCCGCACAACACCACCTGACGAGAGGGAGGAGGGAGTCACAGCATACACCACCTGGGACCAAACAACGCCACCACCTGATGAGGCAGTAATCGCCACGCCATGTGTGGATCGTCCACGATCGCAAATACAAAAAAAAAAAAAAAAAATACAAGGGTGGGTGTGGCTAGCAACAGGCAATGGACAGAGCAGAGACTGTACTGGGCGTCGTCTAAGCGCACGAAAAGTTTGGGAAATCATCGTCGGACTTTACTAGGTAATCATGGTCTCCCGGGCCCTGTTTCACCGGTATAGCAGCACGCTGCTATTACACGTGTCAAATTGGGTTTCCATGGAGACGTCAACAAGCCTATTCCTCCAACACTACCAGAAGTGTGACGTCAGCTCGCGAAATGGAATAGCAGCGTGCTGCTATCACCGGTGAAACAGGGCTCTGTTCTCACCAGGTCCCAGCTGGCGTCCCTGTCCCAAACAGGCCCCATTTAGTGCCCACAGGCCGCCCCGCCTACACTGGATCCCACTTGGTGCCCCTCTCGGCCGTCCTTACCAGGTCCCATTTAGTGGCCACCGGCTGCAGCGCGTGGTGACCGCTGACCAGACTGGAGCGCTGTGTGTGCTTCACGTGGATGACGGCCGAGAGGGCGGCCAGCCGCAGTAGAGACTCGCCCTCCAAACGGTGGCCCTGGAACCCGTCCGGGTACACCTGGAACGGGGCGAACGGTGAGTGCAAGACACAGGCGCCGTGGAGACTGGTCAGTGCACGACTCACGGGACGGGGACTGGTGAACAAACGACAAACACCAAGAAAAGAACACGGGAACTTGTAATGACGCATAGTATCGGCTGAAATACGACTAATATCCTGATAACAACGCTCCCAATGAGCAAACTGTGCAAAAAAAAAAACGCAAAAATATGCAATGCATATCATTTACAGCTGAAAGGCATCATTAGGTGAGACACTGTCTGCCAATAACTATCGTGCGCTCAGAGCGTTATGTTTCATGAGTTTGTCTCTTCATGACTTTGTCTCAGCTCCGGCCTGACTGAGGCGCCCCACCACCCCCGCCGCCCCACCTCTGGCAGGTAGTTGGTGGTGATGTCGCCGCTGACGAAGCGCGGCTCGGTCAGGATGTCCCTCAGTAGCGGGATGTTGTGCGTCACCCCATGGATGACATACGAGTCGAGCGCGTCCAGGCTACGCGCGATCGCCTCCTGACGACTGTTGCCGTACGCTACCAGTTTGCAGATCATCGGGTCGTAGTAGATGCTGATGTCCGAACCCTCGGCCACGCCCGAGTCGCACCGCACCTGGATGGGAGCAACGGAAAATGGGTGTTATGGGAGGACGGAATAGACGATGGTTTCGAAATAAAATGACGGGAAACCAGCCAGAGGGCTGACACGACTTGAGCTGATAAGGTCGAGTACATTGCTGGAACACATTGACCTTTACAGCAGCTCATTCCCGTTATGGTGGACGCCGTAGTGAGCGCCATGAGACAGGTAAACAGTACACACATAATAATGCCAGTCAAGAAAAAGTACTCAGCAAAGAACCCACATAAGCTAATGACACCTTGGACGTCAAACATTTGCACATCAAAATCGATGCTGTAAAAAGGCGCCTTTTACCGTCTGCACCACTCGCCACTGAATGTCAAAGTGGGTCTGAGACTAGGTCGCAGCCGGACAAAGGCCACTATTCCAGCAGCACGCGGACCACTATTGTGCGGGCTGCTCGCGCCAGGGAGGCTCACCCCGGGAAGGTGGTTGGGCTCAATGTATTTGGACAGCCGGCCGACCGACGGCAGGCCAAAGTTCTTGAACGGATCCTCGGCGTAAACGCGTGACTCGATCGCCCAGCCGCGATCGGAATGTCCTCCTGCTTCAGCTTCAGCTTGTGGCCTGGAGGCAGAGGGGTCGGAC